TGCCTTCAAGGAGCAAAATTTTGTTGCACAGACAGCTCACACACTATGTGATTCTCTCAGATATTTCTTTATCATTTCTCGCCTTTAGTTTTTGTTGGTAGGATGTCTGGGGAACTGTCTTGGTGGGAAAAAAATATACTTTACTAAATGTACATATTCTCTCAGTCTAAGTTTGCAATATCCAGACCAAGATGAAAAATGTCAAAAAAAGTTCATCAAAACAAGTTCACCAAACATAAATTTAGTTAACTCTAATTTTAAAAACAGTATTCCAAAAATGACTACTCCCCAAAATGACAAAATTACAATAAGATGTGGCAACTGTAAACACAATAATAGAAACTGCTGGCCTAGTAATATAGTAATACAGGAAGCAGTAGAGCAAATTTGAGTGAGAGGCAGGGGGTGGATGCCAGCACCTTTGAAGTTAGATTCCAAAGTCACAGTGACCTTTATAAATTGCAGAAGTGATCAGAAAAAAAAAAAAAAGAAAGAGAAACCCCACACACAAAGAAATTCAAAATGGCAAGTTTAAATAAAATTTCTGGGGTGGGAAAAATTTGGTTTTTCCCCAAATGTAAGGCAAGAAATGATTCTTGTAAACATTATTTCAAAAACATCTGGGAGTACCATAGTACTCCAGAACAAGAAAATGACTAAAAGTAATTGTTCAACTGAACAAATATTTATTGAGTGCCTATTAGATGTCAAGGCACCATGCCAAGTACAGGGGTAGGGGTATGAGCATTAAACACATAAATTAAAACATACAATTCTTTTCCTCATGCACACATAAACAATAAGCACTTGAGGATGTTATAGGTGTTTTGTGTTTTGTGTACATAAGCTCATTTGTACATGAGACAGAAGTAGTGTGGAAAGTGGTGAGGCACTGGACTGAGGACCAGAAGATAGGAATTTTAGTCTCAACTCTCACTGGTTCTGTGACCACAGACAAGGTACATGAGAAAGTGGAGGACCAAAACAGTGCCTCTCGTACAAGGTCACAAAATCAATTAATAACAGACCTGGAAGAGAATTCTGGCCTTCTGGCTCCTCTTTCAGTTATCTCTATAAAATACTACACATATAGGAGACTGATGAAGAAAGAAAAGTGGAAGAAAAGAAAACCTTTTGGCTTCAAGTCATTTACAGAGAAAAGGAAGAAGACAGAAGGATAATTAGGAAAAGGGGGAAGGAAAATGAATAGTTCAAGTTTTGGCATTCAGATAGAGATCTCAAGAAAGGAAGCACTTAAATATGGAGTGTAAACACAATATAAAGATGATGATGTAAAAGTCTTTTTTTTTTTTTTTTGAGACTGGGTCTCGCTCTGTTTCCCCCACTGGAGTGCAGTGGCATCATTGTAGCTCACTGAAACCTCAAACTCCTGGGCTCAAGCAATCCTCCTGCCTTGGCTTCCTGAGTAGCTGGGACTACAGGCGTGTACCACCACGCCTGGGTAATTTTTCTATTTTTTGTAGAGACAAAGAGTCTCGCTCTTGCTCAGGCTGGTCTTGAACTCCTGGCCTCAAGCAATCCTCCTGCCTCAGCCTCCCAAAGGGTTAGAATTACAGGTGTGAGCCACCATGCCTGGCCAAAAATCTCTTATTATATTATCAGTCAAATGACGCCTTGGAATGTTTTTCTCTAAAACCATTACAGACAAATAAAGGTTCCAAGAATGACATATATGAATAATGCCTAAGGAAAAAGAGACAATAGAAGAAAAGGGGAGGGAAGTTTATAATATCATTCAAATATAAGAGACCCTTTAAAGAGATAATGGAGACTCATTGTACCCAGATGAACAAAAGAAATGACATTATATTCCATAGCTTTTATGTTAGCAACTTTAAAACTCTTTGAGAGTTAGAATCATTAAATATTGGAAAGGCTAAGGTTAGGTTCATTATGGAAATTATTGAAATTTAGAAGGAAAGACTCCATATACACACCTAAAGGCAAAAAATTTACATAATCAGTGAGTTCCACCTATGTTACTATGTCAGAACAACCTGTAAACCTTGGAAAAATATGGACTCTCAGACCTGCTGTCCTGGGTTTCGAGTCCAAGAATCACCCCAGCTAATTTTGATGTAGCCAGGACAGAGCTGTGTTCTACCACAGTGGAAGGGGCAGAGAGGAAGATCACTAGGAATGGCATCATAGAGTGGGAACTAGATCAATGCAAATTTTGTGGGCAAAATAGAATTTCTGTGGGTGTGATATTTTTAAAATGTATTGTCAGGCTGCTCTGAAGCATCCAAGCATATCCCACTGAATTTAAACATTCTCTAAAGGTCCCGAAGTCAGCAACTATAATCCAGGTGAACCAAAAGTTGCTCCTCTATACCACAGAAGCCTACAGGAGAAGCAGTAGAGTGGGAATGGGACAAAGAGATGCCAAGGAGATGTGGCTAAATATCTTAAAAATCCAAACACAGGGAAAAATGAGAAGGAGTAGAAGTAATCAATCTCCTCCACTCCACCGAAAAAAAGGAATATTAATAATACAGAAAGAACAAGAAGAAAAAAGGGAAAATAGTTTTAGGGTAAATTTCATCTCCATATGAAAGAAAAAAACAACTGTTCTTTGTGATTTTTTTAAAAGCAAGAGAAGAATTCAACTGAGAAATTATCTAGCAGGCAGCAAAAAAAAATCAGAGAGTCACTTCCCATTGCAAAGCAAAAGAAAACAAGGAGCAAGGGGTGGTCCTGGATAGCTGTTTAGACAATCAGACAGATGGGCTGACAGTTCCTTGCCTTAGGACTCAGTGATGTTTAAATTAACAACTGGCCACAAGCCAAACACAGGAACACTCAAAAGTTTGAAAGGGTGTTATAATTGGTACGCTGGCAAAACACAATAATAAATTAGGAGGATTCAAGAAGCCTTCACTGCTAGACTCTGAGAAGATTTAAGATCTGTACCAAGAAACAGACTTTTTAATCTCTTCTATTGCAGTAGTTTAGCATCTAAAGAACACCTGTCCAAAAATCAAAATATCTAAATCCTATCCTTTGAGCCAACCTAACTAACACTCAACTTGACTACTTAAAAGCTAGCTACTAATAGCAGTAACTCCTAGTTTTACGCACTGAGGTACTAGAATAAAAGAAGCCCTATGTGTCAGAGTAATTCCACTTCTGACATCAGTCTTATCATTTAACACTTACTTTTGCAAATCACTTTACAATCGTATTTATTATTTCTTACAACTCTCTAAAGTAGGTTATTCCTTTAGTCCTATTTAATAGATGAGGAGACTCCAGATCATAAAAATTAAGTTATTTACTATAACAAGTTAATGGCAGAGCAAGGATTGTAACCCTCAGACTCTGTCACTGATTAGACTCCTCTGTGTCTTAAATCTACACTTAAAGTTTTCACACAAAGAAAAAGGAAAGGCAAAAATACCATTATACGCTCTTTATTAACTGCTTCAGAAACAACAGTTTTGTTTCATCATCACAAAGCCTCCTAGCCTACTTCTGAAATTCTTACACCTCGAGATGTATGAAATTTGAACTTTCCAAGAAGTATCTAGTTGGTGCTGAACAACCCAGTACTGGTTTCAAGTGATAAACAACCTTGTTCTCTTTTTACACATCTGTGATTGGCATATCAACTGCCTATTAACAATGAACAAAGACCATATTTTTCTGAAGCTCATCATCTTGTTAACCTTTTCTTTGAAAAGAGATGTAGTTGATGTACTAGTTTTTTGGTAAAGGCAAAATCTTCCTTCAGATTAGGCCCAGGAAAAGAAAGGGCTCCTTTCAGTTCAATAAACACGCACAAAGCATCATCCCACTGGAAGAACAGATTTCATAAAGAATAAAACACAGTCCCTGCCCTGAAAGGACTTTCTGAACACCTTTTCAGTGCCATAGGTTTAACATACATTTTTAAATTAATCCTATTAGCTGAGTAATTTCATTCCCATTTTACTGATGAGTTAATACAGCAGAGATCTGAAGCCAGGATTGCAGAGCAGGGCTCCAAAGCCCAACCTCTTCCTACTAAACAGTCTGAAGAAATTCAGAATCTAAAAGTGTGGGTGGGATGGGTAAGACATGATTCAATTCGATTTCCTTTCCTCGTTCCAACCGTGTTCTGAAAGACTGTTGGAAATATCCAACCATAAAGAGGCTTTCTAAGGAAGCGCTTTGAATTAACGTATCCACTTTTCCTCACCCGCCCCTGCCCCACCCCCAGCCATGCCAAAAGAGCAGCAAACTCTGCTGCCAGGTTGGAGGAGTTGGTGATCGTCACACCACATTCCTGAATCTGGACACACACTGAAACAGCGCTAGAGCTCCTCGCCTCGGAAAGAATAACAGCAGTTGAGATTTTTAAATCATGTGCCTCAGCGTGCAGCCACACCAGTCTCCCTGCCGCTCGTGCCTCCACCTTTCAGACGCACCAGCACCACACCCGCCTCACCGAGACCGTCGGTCCGGTCGCAGTGTCAAACCCAGGCGAGCCGCAAAACCCTGTCCCGACCCAGACCAGACCCCCACACGCAGGCTGTGCGTGCCTCCCTTTGGCAAAGCCAAGTCCGGCCGTGGAGGTGCCAGCGGCTGGGCTTGGAGGCCCTGCCCCGCGCTCTCCGCGCCGGGGTCTGGCATTCTTTCGCTCAGCCCATCCGGGCCGACGACGGTCCGCTCGGGCTGCCCGCCGTCGGCCCCAGAGACGCCGACGCTGAAGGGCAACACTGCCCGACTCCCCGAACTCCAGTCCTCGCAAAAGGGAGTTTGAGACTCCGGCCAAGGAGGCGTGTGGGGGCCGCGGGGGCGAGGCGGCGGGCAGCGCGGGGGAGGGGCCGCCACGAGCGGGGCCCCGACGACGTCCAGACTTTCGGGAACTTAGCGGCCCCACTCCGCGCCGGCGGCCGAGCCGGCCCTCGCGCACACAGAGGGACGGAAGGGGGAAGGCTCGCCCCAGGTGGCCGGCCAGGCGGGGCGCGGGGCGCGGTAGACAGCCCGGTACTCACCACGCGCGGGGGCCACGCGGCACAGCCAGAGCGCAAGCAGCGCCCACAGCGGAGCCGGGCGCAGGGCGGGCATCTTCTCGGTCGCCTCCTCCGCCGCCGCCGCTGCCTGGGCAGATCCACATGTGGAGGGGGTCCCGACAGAGGAGCCCCACTTTGTCCTCCCCTCCTCCTGCTTCTGCGGCTCGCAGCCTGGCGCTGCCGCCCAAAGCCCAGGCTTAAGTGCCTCGACGCCCCGCACCCCGAGTCTGTCGCTCCTCGACCGCCGCCTCAGCCGCCGCCCGAAGCCTGGCTGAAACTTTCTCGGGTGTGCAGCGAAGCAGCCTCGTGTGTCCTTCCGCCTCGGCCGCCTCCTCCCACCGCAAGTCCCGCCCCTCTGTCGCCGCGGCCGCGCCGCCTTGGGCACCCAGGGGTTTCCCGCAGGAAGAAGCGCCGGCCGAGCTCCGCGCGGAGGGATCCACTACGAGTCGGCAGACGCCCCCTCCCCGACCCGCCTGGGGCCGGCGCGCCGAGCTCGGCGCTGCGGCAACGAGCTGGGCCGTACCCTTGCCCGGGGGCGCGGGGGCGGGGGTTAGGGCTCTGAACTTCAAGCACTGGGGTTTGCCGGGATCGTGAACTTGCAGAGAGGGGCGGCCCTCATCTAGTGAGATCGTTATCGCCCCCACACACCCACACATCCACACACTGCCCTGCTAGCTAGAGGAATGCGGTAGAATGACTAGTGCTGTCAAAGAAGGAAATGGGGGCGAGGCGCCAAAGTCCATTTAAAAGAAACGGAGCTATTGCCTGGATTGTGCTGCACCATTCATTCATTCATTCATTCGCTCATTCTTTTAGCAGTTAATTCGGAGGCGCCTCACTTTGCGTAGCAATGTGCTCGGCACCAGGGAGTACCAAAGATGCACAGGCTACTTGGAGGACCTTGACTTTGCTGCAGCGGGCTAGGGATTCAGGGAAGGCTTTCATGGAGTAACTGGGATGAAAGCAAGATCTTGAAAAGTCCGTAAAATTTGTATAAGACAAGGAGACCATCGAAGAATATTCATTGTAACATTGTAATAGCCAAAAATTAAGAACAACCTAAATGCCCACGCTTAGAGGAATGGATGAATAACGTGTGGTATATTTATAAAATGAAATGCAATATGGTAGTTGAAAAGACTTCATTTATATATGTCAATAGGGCTAAATCTTAAAAACCAAATGATAGTGAAAATACTAATTGCAGAAGGAGACATAAAGCTTACCATTTACGTATATTTAATTTTTTTGAAACAATGCCGTATATTAATTGTGGATGCATATATATAGTAAGAGAATATAACCAGAAGAGTAGCTACTTCCAGGGCAGGGGAGTGGAGCGTATGACCAGGTCTGGGTACGAATGGGCTTCTAAGAAAAGAGCTGAAATTAACAACAACAGAAGTTGTGTTGGCCTATCATTCCAGATGAGAACCATCATAAAAGCAAAGGTAGAGACAAGGGAATAAGTAAACGAGTTCTGGCACTGTTAGCAGTGAGGGGAGGGAAAGAGGGAAAGGTGTTGCAACCAGATGATGCAGACTTTGAATGGTAAACTGAAAAGATGGGGAGGCAGTTTTCTCTCAGGTCACAGAAAACCACGCAAGGTTTTTGAAGAGGGGTTAGACTTGATGGAAAGGAAGAGAGCTCTGATAATCCTGTACAAAACTGATTGTCAGGAGCAAGAAGTGAACTGGAACCCCAGGACCAGTCAGGAGTTTGTGAAGCAATCCAGGCATGGAGTGACGAAGGCCTGAACTAATGAGGCAGATGTCAGAGGGCTGGATATGAGACAATCTTGAAAAACAAAATTAAGAGTGGGAGCTGGAGCAAAACCTATTGTGACTAATTGGATGTGGGAGTTTACAATCCTGTTGGGATGGGAAATTCTACCCACAGAGCTTCTTCCTAACTCCTTTAGGATAAAGTCCAAACTTCTAAAAAGGGTACACACAAGGCTTTTCCCTGACTGGGCCCCATCTCCAGTCCTCCCTGTCCCCATTGTAAGCTTCACACAATAACAGTATTATACGACTTGAGATTCCCCAAACATATCTTGCTGTTTCAGTCTCTGTACCTTCTAATCCCTTGGCTTAGAACAACTCCTCCTCCTCTCCTTCTCTCCTGCTCTTGATGAACTTCTGATCATCATTCATATTTCAGTCCTTAGAAGGCTTTGCCAACACTGTACCAAATTCCTAACCCTAACAGACAGTTCCAACACTGTACTGCTTCTTTATCTTACACCGACATCCATTTTTCATACAGGATTCATTGTATTTCTATTTTCTCAACTAGATTAGGAGGTCCTTATGGACAAGGACCATGGCCTTTTCATCCGCAGCGCCTATCACATGGTAGATGTTGAACTAGAATGTAAAACAACACTAAACAAGTGCAAGTCAGTATGAGCATAGGCCTATACTGTCCCCAAACTATATTTTAATAAGCTCTTTAGAACAGATAAGCAAGTACTATTATCAAAAGTAGTCATCCTGGGATGCTAGAAACTCTTTTCAAAAATAACATAATTAGTCAAAAATAGTTTTGGAGTTTCTCTTGTGCAAATACGTTCAGAGAAAGATAATAATATTACTTTTTAGTTGTTGTCCCACAAACTGTTACCAGTTTGATAATCCTCTTTACTTACTAAAGATAGTTCACAGTGACTTGGCTATATAAAAATTTGAAAAATCACCTACAAAGATCAGATCTGTCACTATGAAAATAGTTTCAGAAGAATGTAAGGTAATTATCTCCAAAGAGCAACTCCAGAAGTGACTGCAGCTATGACAACGTTATTAAAATAGATGTGTAGTTTCTCAAGGTGACTGTTTTAAAGACAGCAGCTCTTATGTTCACATATAACTTTTGTCGAATTTGTTACAATGTTAAACTTATTGCATAGGTTCAAATGTTATGAATGGAAGTAGGAGAAGGCTATGACTGAAGAAATGTTTTGAAGGACGCTATAGATATAAACCGGTAAAAACAAAACAAAAAAGGAGTGGAAAATCAAGGGAGGAAATTGGAATAAGCAAAGACTAAGAGATGAGAACAAGCAAGTCCAACCCATCAACTAGCATTTTAGTGACTATCTACCATGGGCCAGATCCTGTGCAAGGAGCTGAGGGACAAAGAAAGAGAGGACACTTGAACTGACCGTTCAGATCCTGTGGATCTGAGGGCTCTGTCTCAGCCCAGGGTAGTCAGGGAAGGCTTCCAGGAAGAACTTAACAGCTGGACTAATAATTGGAGGACCAAAAGATTAATTTAATCGAGTGAAGAAAAGAGGAGATTTCTCATATTTAGAGGTTTAAAGTTGTTCTAGGCATGGGAAAAACATGTATAGAGGCAGGCAGACAATAGAAATCAGAGCTTCTTCCCTGAACTGGGAAGATAAGGACTTAGGCAGGGGCTGTGGGAATGCAGAAAAGATGGGCACTGGCTCCTAAGACTAGTAACTGCATAGGTGAGAGAGGAAAGGTAGATCGAGGAATCAGCAGTGACCTCAGTACCTTGAGGCATGATGAGGCCATTCTTAGATGTAGAAAAGATAGGGGGAAAAAAGGAGATTTAGTAGAGGAGATATGTAGGCAAGAGAAGAAGAATTATCCCCAAAGAGCAACTCCAGAAGTGACTGCAGCTATGACAACATTATTTAAATAGATGTGCAGTTTCTCAAGGACTGGATATATAGCTGGAAGGGGAAACTGTTGGAGTAACAGCAGTGGCTGTTGACTGCCTTAGGGAGAGTTCAGAGTAGCCTGACTGATTAGCAATATGGCATTGCACTCTTGCAATTGGCCTTTCCCCAAAGTTAAGCCTAAATTCCACTCTGCATTTAGGTGACTATTTCCCTGGTCCCTATCAGAAGCCAGGGGGACTTGTGGTGGTCTCAAAACTTGAGCAGCAGCTGAGTACATGAAATGCCAAGATCTGCCTGGAGATGTCAGCCCCAAATGTACCTAGCAGTTTAGTTGCTCAACTGGATTGGGGAATGGTCTTCCCCAAGGACAGTGCTTCTAGTCAAAGCAAATCCTACTTTATAAGAGAAATTGGCAAGAAAATATTCAGCAGGGTCCTATAATGAATCACAGCTGTTGTTATTCCTTAAACTTCCATAGCTGCACTGATAAAAAGAAAAATGGGATCCCACAAACTTTCATGTGAAAAAAAATTCCCAGTCTCCACAATTAAAATCCAAAAACCATTAGCAGTAGAAAAACGTGAATAAGGGCTACCAATAGTTTTAGTTTTAGTCAAAACTTAAAATATCCATATATATCTATACTATTAATAATTAAAATGGACGTAAAATTGCCTCCCCAAACAAATGCAGGATTGGGCGCTTACTTGTTCTGATATCAGACCCCTGAGATCCAATAAGCTATAAAAACCCTCAAGGGCAGAGATTGTCTTATTCTTTTATTTTGCCCCAGTTTTTAGCATAGTAGTGTACATAAGTGATCAATGACATATGTTTTAAATGAATGTTGAATGAGGAACATATACATCTATATAAACTGGGGAGAGATGCAAGACTGGAAAAATGTCTTGATGTCTTGGAGATGATGAAGAAGAGGTTCTGCGGTAGATATCAAGCATAGCTGAGATACTCCACATATCTTGCCACATAACCCAGGAGCCCAAGAGTATGTGATGAGATGTTTATGGAAGCAGGAATTAAAAGGAAGATTTCTTTTAATAATGCCTTGCATTCGTGCAGTGCTTTAGACTTTCCAAAGCACTTTTAAGTATCTTATCTCATTTGATCCATGGTAAGATAGCGGGAAATAGCAATCGTGGGAAATAGGCAGGCCAGTCATTAGTATCCCCATTTCACAGATGAAGAAACTAAGATAGAGTTTTAGTGTCTTGCCCAAATAAGTAATTAGTGACAGAGCTGAGATAAAAACCCCACTTTTTCTGACTTCTGATTCTATCTCATTCCACTCCACCTTGGTACAACAGTGTGAAGCACTCCCAAGATGATATTTAGTGTGGGGACCTCTGGGCAAAGGGCCACCAGCTTCTGGTCACTCCCATATTGGTACAGAACAAGCTGACCCACTGTAATTAGGAAACTTAAACAAGTGAATACATTCTTTTCTTTTAACACATTTTTTTGGGAGCCTACTTTCTACAAAGCACATCCTTGACTCTGTGGCAATACAGATATGACTAAGACCCAGCCCCTGCTCCTTAGGGATCATAGTGCATTGAGGGAGGCCACATACAAATAGCATGACCAAAAAAGGGGTAAAGCACAGGGCTACAGGAAAGTAGAGAGTACTGTGATTAATTTTGAGGCCACTTTCATTTCATCCAGTCCCCAG